TCGTCAGAGTTATTCTCTCTTTATCCGTTTCTATTTAACTTTGCCATGGATTTAATACTTTAAACAGCCCTATCTTCGTGCGAGGATAACGACATCAATTTAGTCCTAAGTGGTAGACTGTCTGATCTAGAGAATGCAGATGACATTGTGCTGCTAAGTGAGAATCCAAGTAAGTCGCAAGCTTTTCTTGACAGTTTGAGTGGTAGTGTAGTCATATTTTGTATGCGTCTTGCGTATTCTGCGTGTAAAAGTTTCCTCGAGGAATGGGTTGGCTGTGTGTTATGTCTGAAAGTCGTAAACAAAAACGCTCGTGCATCTTCTCAACTTCCATGCAACCTTGGCCCACTTAAGTTCTCGATTTTTCTTCGACTCTACGCTCGCCTACTGCCGCATGCAAATCGGTAGACAAAAGACAGTCACCAAAACCGTCGCACGAAAGGTCATGCCTAATAGTTGCACAAACCGAAACTGAACTTCACAAGTGCTAGAGTTCACAGATATGGTTGTGGTAGTACGAGAACGAACTCATGGATAATATGTTCTTCTGCACTGCGTGTTGTGGATGTCATTCGTAGATCCGGTTTACGCTCTGCAGGTTCATACGCTCAGTTTAACCTAACGGTCACAGATCTTCGTAGACACGTTCATCTTTGCATATAATAATTAACATCAAGCTAAAGTTGGGCAGCGGTGGCCAAGTGGTTAGGTCACCAACTAGTGACCTGAGTGTCCCGGGTTCAAACCGCTTCACCGCCTCCCGTCTTCCCAATAACTGTATTTTCCCGAGGCAGCCTTTGTATGGCCGCAGCCCCCTTGAAAGTTGACTGTACATTTGTATATTCAATAAGTAAAACAAGGAAGTATAAAGACATTTATTTTTTTATCCTGAATTGCTGTGTTCAGTATGGTGACCACAAGAATGCGCATCCACTGTTGGACCGTTCTATTAACTATCCTTTGTGCATGCGGGAATTCTGAAGACTTGTTCCAAATGAGACATTTTGTTGTATTAATGCCAATTTACCGATACCCTGACAGTTGTTCATAATAAATAACTATCCTCGTCCCGGCCCCGTCTTGTGGATTTATAACACTAGAGGTATAAAGCGATCAAAGGTTAACATCATACTGTCGGTGATCGTTTTTTATTTGTATTGTTAGAGCGACTCAACTGGACTCTGAGGATTATCTGGCGTGGTATCATTTGGCGGTTGAACTAGCTACACAACGACAAATTGAAGACGCATTGGTTGCCTGTCAGAAGAGTTTGCGATTGATGCCTAGTCATTCGAACACCCTATGTTTGTTTGTGTTGCTGCACACGGCCGGAGGCAAACACATGGAACAAGCTTCTAAAATCTTGCGCATTGGGCTCGCCAGTCGACCGAATGACATCAACTTATTACTGTTATTGGCTAAGGTGGAAATGGTTCGACAGAACCCTAAAGTGGGTCTTTTCGTCTACCGTCGTTTGCTAGAAGTCTGGAGAGACACATTCGCACCCGAGTCTGACTCCAGGTACGTTTTATTGTTTTCATGTCTCCAGCTATTTTTGTCCCCATACCGTATTCAACATTACGGATTATTCCATCCCGTCTAAGAATGTTGATTATGTTTGTAACCCCTGATTCCAGGTGCAGTACCTCTGGGAATTCACAACCAACAAGGCAGCTTTCTGATGTTTTAGTGAATGACTAGTTATTGTTTAAACTAAAAAAAAGTGGATGACTATAATGAAGTTTGCCTACCTCTGTCGATACCATCTAGACACGAACACTGTATAACAACTGCGAAATCTACCGAAACCGAGTATTTCGGTGTGCTAAACGCACAAACGTATTATTTAAATAACCCACCATTCTGGAAAAGATACGAATTGTCGAACAAGTTTGGTCTCAATTTCATCTGCTGAGTAACGGCCATTTATATGCAGAAAATGAACATCATATTTGCATAATGTTGGGTGTTTCTAGTTTGATGGCTTAGTCGCGTCACTGTTTAGTGTAAGCTTTGTAAATGAAAACAAGTTGTGCTGTCATGCCTTAGCAGACTGAAATTCTTCCGTAACTTGGTTTCGATAGCTGTGCGCACGATATGGGCAGAGCACGGCCACGGTCAGCAGAACAAAGTCCAATAAAGTAGCAGTGTTTATCGACAATGGTGTGAATCGTGGTTCTAAAATCATACAGTAATAATAAAACGGAAAAAGTAGCTTACAGCCAGGTGAGCAACCAAATTACAGGGTAGCAGTAACAGTCCGCTACGACGATGATAGGAACAAGGCTTACCCGGTATACAGCTAAGCGTAACAGTAGCGTAGCAGTGAAATTCAAATTGGGAGAGGTTGCGGTACGGTTTGGAAAAGGCTTACAATACAATTTAGTTCCGGAATAAAACGATAGATAAGGAAATTACAATGGATTGGAACGAAGTGTAGTAAATGTTAGCAAATCGGAATGCAATGCTAAAAGGTGGTGTTAATCAAAATTATGCGTATCAGAGGGTAGCATTGAGATAAGGAATAAACAACTCTGTGATAAGCGTGTGTGGTTCGGGGGTAACGTGTGTCGGCCAGGGGTGATCTGCGGTTCTAGCCCGGCTGGCGCCAGGATTTTTACCCGCAAAACAAGCGTTCAGGAAATGCGTCCTTATGAATGAACATATAGTAATCACAGCAATAAAAGTCCGGTAAATACGCTATCAGAATGTAGAAATTTCATGACTACGGATGCCATGGGATGCACAAAAAACGAAAGTCTAACTGTTGGGAAAATAAACGCTGAATGCTACTCATCAGTAGTCTAATAGAAACAGAGGGAAAAACATAATTACGAATAGTAATTAACACAAGTTTTCGATCGTTGAGAATGAGGAGCATGCTTGCGAGACTTCAGATGGGGGTCAATTTAGTTTGGGTTTCAGAAAATACCGTCACCGGTGACAGGGTTGAATTCAAATGCCGACAAAAACAACAGAGACTAGTGCATCATTTTCTTTTCTATATTTCACTGGAAATCTTCAGTTAATCCACGCACAGATTGCTCATGTAGAACCAAGTGGAATTCAAACGGTTTGTAAAACAAAAAAATTAATCTTTGATGTTTCTTGTTTGAGGGCTGCGGATGCCTTTCTTGAGATCTAGGACACGGAACAGCTTCCTGGTATGTGGGTGTATTGGCATTCCTGATGTTTAAAAATGCTTGCGTATTGCATGCATTACGGTACGCATTTGATAGTCGAAAGGCTTGATAAACTGACTTTCGTGAACCAAACTGGATTTCATTACGGTCGCTGACACATTCATAAAATCCTTACTGACTATCAGCTATCCAAACGTTGCGTTGTTTCAACGACTGGTTGTCATTTCACTTCTGGATATCCCATTTGTCTCTTAATTACTCTATTGCATTCTTTGCTTTCACGCCCAAATGCCCATCGCTCTGATCTGTATGCTAGCTTTAGTGTACCTTCTAACCGGCATATTCAAACTCATTGCAAAGAACAGATTCCAGCCGAACTGCACCTATAATAGTACACTGTCAAACAAACTGCGTTAGACTACTTGGTTGTTGAAATGTGCAGGTATAGTACGGGTTTCGATTCTATCATAACGAAACTGCACCTTGTCGTGGTGCGTGGCTTGCGTGCATCTATGACACTCCTTTCGTAGACCCACCATTTTCATTTTCCTCGATCTAAACGCGGCTTTCGACTCAGTCAATCGCTCTAAACTCTGGCGCTGCCTTTTTCTGAAAGGTGTGCTCGAGAAGTTAATTTCAATATTACGATCGCTTTATACTACTAGCCGAAGTCGAGCCCGGGCTTACGGCACTTTTTAACCCGAGTTCACCACGGGAAGTGGTGTTCGACAGGGTTGCCCTCTCTCTCCTTTCTATTTA